CAGTGGTGTCCAGCGGTAGGACAAGGGGCAACGGGTATAAGCTAGAACACAGGAGGTTCCGCTTAAACTTGAGAAGAAACTTCTTTACAGTGAGGGTGCCAGAGCACTGGAACAGGCTGCCCAGGGAGGTTGTGGAGTCTCCTTCTCTGGAGACATTCAAGACCTGCCTGGACACCTTCCTGTGTAATTTCATTTAGGTTCCTGCTCCGGTAGGGGGATTGGACTAGATGGTCTTTTGAGGTACCTTCCAATCCCCAACATTCTGTGATTCTGTGATTCTGTGAAACACCAGGCAAAAGTCTGCCCTCAAAGAACTTCCAACTATAAAAGTATGGGTTTTTTTCTGGGCTAGCTGAAGATAGAAGTGTGGAGATCTTCATATAGGTTTTGATTTTGAAAATGGGGCAATGAGATGGGGTAAACTTTCCATTCAAAAAGCTCTAATATTTTAGATGTGATGTCAGTCTACCTGATCTCCAGCACCAACATCCTCTTCATCCCTGTGTAGATGAACACCTTGGGCAATATCAGGTGACTGCTGTTCCAGTGCCACTAAAACATTACAAGTCTTGTAGTCAAAGCCTATTTGGAAAAAAGAATAGCAGCAAATTAACTTTTGCTGTCACAATCAAGGAAAAATATGGAAATTGAACCATATGAAAAACATTTAATTCTGAAGGATACTGCATTCAGAACTCACAACCTAACTGCTATTTTTAGTTAATTTTTTTGTCAATACAACACTTAAAACCTTTGCTTGTTACTGCTTGTTTTCTCTTGCATTGATACCCTGTGCCAAGACAATTTAGATTATGAACTGTTAACTGCAGAAAACTAGTCAAAAAAGTAAATAATCAGCCTCTCCCAAATAAAAAGTATTTAAAACCTCTACGTAAATTCCTGGGAGCTGATGTTTTCAGCAACTGCAGGGTCTCCTCTCTGATACATTATTTATAACACGCATAAAGCAGTGTCAGTACCTAAATCTCTCATGGGAGTTTGTATGAGAGCTACAAACAGAGAGAAAAAAAAAAAAACAAACAGATTCAAGTCTCAGAGAAAATCTGGAAGTGGGAATTTAGTTTACATTACTTTCAAAGACCAAAAGGAAAGTTTTAAAAAGAAATTGAAAGACTTACAGAAGATAGTGGCAAAATTCTCCACCTGTTCCTAGGTATATTAATAGTAACTTGCTTCTCTCCAAATCCAACCTTTCCTAGAATTGTAGCTACTGGTAGCTGCTGATCAAACTCATGTTCAGCCAATACAACATATATACATGTCCATATGCATATGATCCATTTGAAGAATGCTCTTCACCCTCTTTTAAGTAGGCTATGTAGAGAAGAAAATTGTATTTTTGTGTGCAATAGTTTGGTTTAGATTTTTGTTTTTCTTCTGAATAGATATTGCTTTTTACTGGGTCATTGCATCTCCCCTTATCATTTTTTGGCAGTTAGAATAAAAAGGAGATTTATGACCTACTAGAATTCCCAGCATTTTCTGAAAGCACTGCTGTTATGTGATGGTGGAGGCAACCTACAGATGTGCTGCTATAATATTCTCCCACCACAATCTCCCTGTAAATTCAATAGCAAATTAAGGACAGCAAGAAACAACTTTTAACCAAAAGCTCTTAAAAGATACACTTAACTGTAAGAGGATACTTGGAATATTTGTAATGTATAAACAGATACATAGCAAACCAGAAGGTGAAATGTATCTGGTCTATAAAGCATTTTGTCTTTTTTATCATTTGTACATTACACAAACTGGATTTGGACTGCACACTCCTCAGTGTAGGAGGAGTTCAGAGCTAACAGAGCACCTTGCACAGTGAGAACTTGCCTTACACCTGGGAATTCTAGATGCTACCACAATACAAGTATATAATGGTACAACACCAAAAAAAAAACACCCTAGGCCTCTTCCCTCTCTTTCACACCAAGGTGCATCAATTGTCTTGTCAAATGAATAACCAAGAGTCGAGTTCTTGCAAGTTTGAAGGACTGGTAGATTCTGTAGCTCAAGTTGCAGTTAACTGTTCTGGCCTAATACCACAGTTCAAACTATATTCTGCCTACCCCTTTCAGTCTTAACTAACATATAATGGTTTTTCTGCTTATTAGGATAAAGTCAGAAAGTGTATCATGTAGGACCGCGTGAGCAGCTTTCAGACAGGATATTCAGTTTTTATAAGGCTTGCTAAAGCCCATATATGGAAGTGGTGACAGACCTGTTTTGCAGTTGCCTATTGCTTGCTCTTCAAGGATTTCATTATTTTTTCCACCAACCTTTAGCTGAATCATCATAGCCAATATGTCTAATTGCATCTCGGACAACTCGCTGATAATCCACAATAGCACGAGATGTGATCTCCCCACAGAGCAACACCATTCCTGTCTTACATACTGTCTCTGAAAAGAGAGATGAAAACAGGATTACTAAAGCAGAATAACAGCCCACAAGACAAAACTAATGATGATGATTATTTTGAGAGACCTACTGGGTATATACAGTATAAGTCCTTTCTATACATATTTTTTGAAATATTAGCTCATTCTACAACAAATTCTTTTCATATTCACCATATGTGAAAGGAAAAGACTAATAGGTCCAATTTACAAATGGGAAAGTCAAGACTGTGAGCATGATTCAGTGACATGCCCAGATTTTAGGGAAATGTAGCATTAAGCTGTGATTTCTAAAACCATTTAATCACTCTAAGATACATACTGTGGTTAAATAAAATTCACTAGTGGTCAACTATTTTGAAAACTTTCCTCCAGTCCCAGGAGGAGGAATCTGAAGATGGGATTTATTTACGTAATATATGAATTAGGGTAATGACCTGAGGGTTAATGGTACAACTCTTTCTGAAGAGATTTCAAAAAACAAGCAGTAATGGGGAAGAGTACTGAAAAATTAGTACTTTATTAAATATAGTAAATGAACTTTTCAACAAAACTTACAAATATTCTTTTGAAAATCCACTGTAATGAAGTCCAATCTGTTTCTCTCACAAAAATTCAGTCCACACACAAAATTGACTATCCTACAGCTTGCTTAGGCTTCAGTTTTTATATAAACTTTTACTGTTTCTTCTCATCTCTCCTTCTATTGAAGACTGTAATTCTTATGTTATTTTTTGACAGTAAAATGTTTTAGCAAATGACTGGTGACTGGGTGACAACTTAAAGCAAAGTAGCAAACAACTTACCACAAGCAACTTTGGCATTTGGGTCCTGTTTGAGATGGGCGTCTAATACAGCATCGCTGATTTGATCGCAGATTTTATCTGCAAGACATCAAAGTTGGTTTCAAAACCATAGCACTGAATACACTTTGAAGAGGTAGGTGTTTCAGCAAGGAATTCTTTTATTGCTTATTACTGGAGTATTTAAGCTAGCCAAATGGAAAGACATATGAAACATCTTGCAAGCAAAGTAGATACAATGGGGGATTTACTTACTAGTGCAAACTAACAATGACTACAACTTCACCCATACTTTTCTGCACTTAAGTGTGAAACCAGGATGTTATGCATAGAATTATCTGAGACTCTAAGAGGCTTTACTCCCAGCCTTTTCCTTCTCTAACACCACAAGCCAATACAGCATGCACTCTACATCAGTAGAATTCTAACAAAAAGATGATATTCTACCGTCAACTTCCATCTCCACAACAGAAAGTTAGAATATACCTGACCAACACTGCTGGCAAAGCCAGAGAAAGTGTTTAGATTCAGACAGATAATGTGCAGCTCAGAGTCAAGTGCCTGTTTCAGGTTTGACACTTCTCACTGCTTCCTACCATCTTGCAGTGCCATCATAACCCCTGCAACCCACCTAAGGTAGGGGAGTGAATAGCACACACATAAGCAACAAGGGGTTACCAACTGAAGTTTGCCTGAGGTAAATCTTGAGTACATCCTCAGTTACATCACAAATCCAAGACTTCAGCTCAGGTTTATCATATTTTATCTTTTTCTTTCTTTTCTTACCTTTTTGATGAATAATGAATCTTAATCAAATAATGTAGCTAATCTAGTAAATACAAAAGGGCAGCATCCATAACAATGCCTTCCACATGAAAATGGTAATTTTCCTCATCTATTTTAATTTTACTATGTTTAGATGTTGCTGTAACATGCTGTGTGGCAAAATTAATCTCCTGCCTTGCCATTTGCAACACAATCTGTTGGAAAGCAATGTTTTGTAAGAGTATGTCATTAGAGACTTTTAATACATTTAACTTCAAGTTAAAATAAATTCTCATTTATTTTCACGAGGAAGGTGTACATCCAGCTAAGAAGGACACATCAAAGACTAGAGAACTAATGCGATTCTGACACTCTTATCTCCCATATTAACCACTTAAACACAAAAAAAAAGCTAACACAAAATACAATTGGCAAATGTAGGCTGCATTGGAACTTTCAGCCTCACAAGAACTGTACATGGATTACTAATTTGGGACAATTATTACCAAACAGGAATCAGACATCATTCTTGCAATTTAGTTAGAAGTCCAAATGAACCTTGTTTAGCAAGACTGGGGACAAAGGTGGCAGGACTTGATTAAAATGTATCTGCTTGTTCTCTTTAAAGTTTCAGTTTTTGTATGGAAATATACTCATATTTTCAAGCATAAAAGCAAAAAATATTGATGAAAATATGCAAATTTTGATTACCTGGATGGGACAACAGAGGAACTGGGATAGGACAGCCTTCTTAGGGCAGGTCCAATGCCCTGCAGTAAACTCCTACTGATCGGGACTGCTTTGTAGTTGTCTTTTCACCACTCAGAGTTTCTATGCCAGGAACAACCTTTATCCCTGCCCTTGCTCCACATGAAGCATGTCTCACCTGCATTAGATACCAGTGTCCCATGTTTGTCTACATTCCCTGTATGGCACATACAGGGGTATTATATGCATTATTTCCAAAACATTCAAGAAGAGTACAGGTAATTCTATATGATTAATTCATCCTCGTTTCTCCTCACGGCACCTATCTGGTATCATTAGTAACTACAGTATTTCATGGATTTGACGTTAAGAAGCTACAGGAAGGTTTAGGACAGAAGATTGCCCCCAAACCAGAAAAGTCTGTCTTACAGGATGAAATCAATCAAGCTCAATCTAGTTTTGAAAGGGTGAAGGAAAGGCCTACTAGAAGAAATCTTACAAGCATTGGGATCACAGTCTCCAAGAACCTAAAAATAGAGAAAAAAGGTTTTGTCTGATGGACAGTAATATAGTTGATAGCTAGAAATGAAAGAGACAGATATGGATTAAACAAGGAAAATCTTTAAAGGGTGAGAGCCATTGAAACCATTCATACAGGATTCCTTACTCCTTCAAATCTCTAGATGAAAATTTGGTATCTTTTTAAAAGCTATGAATGAAATTAAGCCATAATTTACCAGCATGTTTGAAGAATTCTTGCACAAAATATTATCACCTGTGTATGAAGGTTAGACCAGAGTATATATCAGAGGTCTCTTCTACTCTTTAAAATGTATGTGAGAATTTAACCAATTAAAATAATAAATTAGAATAATTTAATCTACTATGCTGCTAACATACCTTTAGATTAAAATAGGCTGAGACAAATCAGTTTGAGAATTCATGTAATATCTGATTGTTGGTGCAACAACCAGCAGTTCTAGTGCAACTAGATCCAAATACAGATAAAGATATATCTATCAAGACAGGAAAGAGATATCTAGCTGGATGATTGGCTGATTATGCATTAAATTAGAAGCATGTCTATTAGTAAATGTCTCTGGTGTAAAATAAAACCAGAGGTTCTATTTTTAGCAATGCTTAGCAGGCTTTGTGCACCCTTCATTCTGTTATTTAAATTTCTCATCTCAACCCTCCCATTTCTCTTTTTAGCTGCTGAACATGACAGGATATGTTTGTCCATTTTTTTCTTCCTTTTTTTGTTCCTTCTTTTTTGGAAGCAAGGAACGCATAATGGACCATCTCTGGTGAGGCACTATCATCTAAAAAAAAATTAGATAATAGATAAGAATTCAGTTCATGCATACCTTCATGTAGTGAATTACTATCCAATAGGATAAATACTGCAAAAGGGATGTCTAGGCTGAGGATTTCTTGACTGAGCAGGAAAGTATTAGATAACCATGATTTATTTTAATGAAATAAAATCATCCTACAGACCCAGACTTACAGCCCAGATGCCAATTAGCCATAAAAAGCTCTTACCGACTATAAAAGGAATGAATGAGTCTAGGGAAACTGATGATAAACCTAATCAAATGCCCAGTTGTTAAACTACGAAGTAAAGGAAGCATTCAGCAACAAAGGTGACCTCAACTAATTAGAAGGAGCTTCACAATTTTTCAGACAGTTGAACTTAAGTTTGTTATATTAATCTAGACTGTTATAACCTAACACAGGCTGTGACATCTCTAAATTCTCAAGACCTCTGCAAGAATTCAGTTTCATGGATTCACCACACACATACACAAAATCTGTGAACAGCAGTAACAACTGAAAACTTAATTCAAAAAAGCTCTGCCCTTTGAAGCACAACAAACAGGTACAACCACACTTCTGGCTTTGATGGTGTAGTAAATATAATAAACATTGGACATTTCAAAAGGTAAGGTTGATTTTCTTAAAAACTTGTGATGGTCTAAGCAAAATTTAGTATTTTTAGTGATATGTTATTTTTATATGTTTTTAATGATATGAAAAAAATATTAAACTAGAATGGGAAATGATGTATTCAAAATATGATAAACTGAGAAATTCTCAGTTTTCTGGTAAAAAATTAAAACAGTCATGAAACACAAATACTTATCATGAGCACTTCATCAAAAAACAAGCTTTCTACCAAAAAAAGTTTCACTAGAAAGACTTAGAATAGCTGAATTGTGCTGTATTACACTACACTCTCGAGGAGTGCTAATTGATAACTGCAGTGGTACTTCAATATTAACACTACACTGTTTAAATATCTGTACATCTGTTCTCTTTGTTCAATACACAGTTTACTGAAATATTGTGTGCATTATGAAGTATATATAATGTTAGATATTGTTAAGTATATATAATGCTAGATATAAGACATGCAAGCATCAACTTACTGGAAA